CATCAAATGATTGGTGAAAGGATCTGGCGGAAAATGGGCTGATCTAAAGATGTTTTAGCTGTATTTCAAACTCTACAATTTAGGAGGAACCTCACAGCACTTAAAAAAAAATCCCATTTCCTTGTACAACTTAAAGGAAATAAGCTAACCACATCATAGATCTGAATTTATGAAAACCACATGGCTATTTTATTTTCTTCTTTTTCAAATCACTTTTTGTTTAAAATAATACACTACCATAGTACCCTGAACCAAACATATGTAGTTGAGATCATTTGTTTCACATAACATTTTGCCATGCTAAGGGGAAAAAAACATATTTCTGTCCCCAAAAGGCTATTGCAATAAATATCTTCTGAGCAGCCCTTAAAATTCTATCAGTTTATCAGAATTCTTCTTTGTTTACCACAGCCATTTGTTTAGAGCTGAATACATACATGTCTATTTCATACAACAATCTAGATATATGGAAGAGCTATGATAGAATATTTTGGGCCGAGCAGAAGATAATTGCAGCTTGCCTCTGCCTGACAGTTTGGGTCTGGTAGGAAGGGAGTCTGAGGAGAACACTCACAGCTGGGCAGAGGAGCAGAAGAGTTCATGACTGAGACTGCTGGGATCAGGTAGGACAATAAATCTTTTGGGAAGGACCTCAAAACTTTAGGACGGGATCCAAAATATAGGTGAATTCAGTCCCCCCCTCCCCTAGTTTTAGTTAATTCCATCCTCTGTAAAATCAATCTAAGACTAATAACATTCTTCCCTTTAATAGTACAGATCTTCAGCTAGTGTAAATTGTCATAGCTCCACTGAAGTCAATACTGTCCCCAGTATATCTAGCAGCTATCTTACAATGGTATAGTATAACATTGGAAAACAGTGTTCAACATCCAGTCTTCCTACCAGTCTTAGGGCTTCTCTAGTTGGAAATTTATCAAAATACGTATTTAGTTATTTTAGTATAAGTCCCTGGACACTCTTGCTCTAAAATAAGAATGTCTGCATGAGATTTCATACCAAGATTACTGTTCTGGAATAATTATCTTGGTAAATTTCCAAGTGAAGACAAGCCCTTATAAAAATACAAGAATAGCGTCTAGTAATATCTTAAAGCACATTACAGATTATATCATATAATGGCAAGTAGTAACTATTCTAAACTGTAATGTTTTGGACATTTACTACAGAACGACGTAGTTTATTTTATAAGAAAAAAGAATACTGTTGAATACACGAGTACAATATAAAGCTATTTGCAATGAACAGCTCTAGTAGAGAGAAAAATAGGAGAAAAGGGAGAGTGAGGTAATGCGATGGTATTTGAGGTACCAAATCCAAGAATTTTGCTGTAAGTCATGGAGTCCAGTACCACAGCCAAATCGGTGACATCTGTTTTGTTTTGTGATTTAATCCATACACCTCTATAAATCTCTGCTCAGAATAAACATAGCACTGTATTCATATTGCAATTTTCATGCATGCAGACTGCTTGGTCAATAAAGTATCTGGAAAAAGGAGGAAACAGCGAGGTGGCAAAATTTGCAGATGATACAAAAGTATTCAAGATAGTTAAGTCCAAAGCAGACTGCAAAGAGGGATCTCACAAAACTGGGCAACAAAATGGCAGATGAAATTCACTGTTGATAAATGCAAAGTAATGCACATTAGAAAACATAATCCCATCCATACATATAAATTGATGGAGTTTAAATTAGCTGTTACCATTCAAGAAAGAGATCTTGGAGTCATTGTGGATAGTTCTCTGAAAACATCCACTCAATGTGCAGCAGCAGTCAACAAAGCTAACAGAATGTTGGGAATCGTTAAGAAAGGGACAGATAAGACAGAAAATATCATATTCCTCTATATAAATTCACGGTACACCCATATCTTGAATACTATATGCATATGTGGTTGCCCCAACTCAAAAACAGATACATTGGAATTGGAAAAGGTTCAGAAAAGGGCAACCAAAATTAGTAGGGGTATGGAACGACTTCCACATGAGGAGAAATTAATAAGATTGGGACTTTTCAGCTTGGGAAAGAGATGACTGAGGGGGGATATGATAGAGATCTATAAAATCATGACAGGTTGGGAGAAAGTAAATAAGGAAATGTTATTTACTCCTTCTCATAACAAAAAAACGAGGGGGTCAACAAATGAAAAATAATAGGCAACAGGTTTAAAAGAAACAAAAAGGAAGTATTTTTTCACACAGTCAACCTGTGGAACTCATTGCCAGAAGATGTTGTGAAGGCCAAGAGTATAACCAGGTTCAAAAAAGAACTAGATAAATTTGTGGAGGACAGGTCCACCAATGGCTATTAGCCAGGATGGGCAGGGATGGTATCCCTAGCCTCTGTTTGCCAGAAGCTGGGAATGGGCGACAGGGGACGGATCACTTGATGATTACCTGTTCTGTTCATTCCCTCCAGGGTACCTAGCATTGGCCACTGCTGGAAGACAGGATACTGGACTAGATGGCCCTTTGGTCTGACCCAGTATGGTCGTTCTTATGTTCTAATGCTTAAACATAACAGTTAAAGAGGGCATGGGTTGGTGTGATGGAGAATAAAAGCAGGGGGTTACACATGGCCTCTGACACAAGTCAAGGTGTCAGTCACTCCATAACAACACTTCTCTCTCTTTCTAAAATAAACAGGGATCTTGAAGAATATATTTTCAAATCTCTTTAATAGAGGGAGAATGCTGTGATGATGGTTCAGCAGTCAAGTGAACAGAAGAAGCATGAGGCTATATTAATGGACATTTTCCTTTTCCAGATGTGCGGATTCTTCATTCAAGCAACAGCAGAATACACAATAAAAATAACTACTATAACAATAAGATTCTAGCTTCAACTGGCTAAATCAAGAAGTTGTTTCTCCATCCTCAGCTGAGGTAAATCAGCAATGCTCTATTGAAGTAAATGGCTCTATGCCAGAGTGGATACAAATCACTGATTTAAAAAAAAAAAGAATTTTTGTTTAAATAGGATTTTTTTGATAAAATGCTTTTTGCTTTTTTCCTCAATCTAAAGATAGTTTTAGTTAAGATGCATTATAGCTCAAAAATATCTCATAATAGAATAGGGATTATAAATTCTAATTCTATAGTATGAGACAATATATTCATGTAATGTTTAAGAAAAGTTTTGTAAATGATTTCCAATAGTTCATGGATTAGGGACCCAATTTTATGGGGTTCCAGTGGCTTCCGTATAGATTATTTAGGTTAATCTTTCTATCTACCCAATGAGACTCAGTACTGTCTAGACGATACCATCAGAAATGTTTAGTTTTTCAATTCTCAAACTGTGGATTTTTGTCTCCCGAGGTAACCTGCTTGTTAACAGCAAAAATGTTTTAAAGTAAATAAATAAATAAATAAATAAATATAAGTGAGAAATAACAGACCTCAACTCTATTGTCCCTTTGCAAATTTGTGTGTACACAGTCAATCCCTTACCTCTATTTAAAAGTGCAAAGTTTCAAAAAGTTCAATGAATAGAAGATTTTTGGGGGTCGAATAGATCTGGTCAAGGAGAAGTCTGGAGATAAATATGAGAAGCAAGGAACATATGCTCTTTTGTTAAAATATTATGTGTTTGCTGTTGAAGAAAAAATATCCAGAATACTTAATATTGTTGTTTTAGTTAAACAAAACAATTTAAATGTCTGTCTGGTGATGTTCGCCTCCTAATACAGCATGGCAAGAAAATTCTCCAAATACTAAATGATTAACCTGTTGAACTGGAGATAGTTCACCTCCCAATGACTTCATAAATATCTGCTTCAATTATATTTGGTAAATGAAATAACCAAACAATCATTCTTTTCTGATATAGCTGTAAAACTAATCTGAAAAGTTTTCAAAATATATCACTCTTTAAAAATGTATAGCGTGTATCTTCTAAAACTGAAACCTACTTCTACCTCTGAGTTGTGAAGAATATGTATTAAGGTTATAACAAACAACTTTTATGTAGAAAACCATGATTTAAATCAAATCAACCCTGCTCTAAGCTGACTTACATCAGCTGAAGATCTGTCCCACTGCATCCAGCTATGGTCTAGTTCCCATGCCAAAGCATTTCTGTCAACAGCACGTGTGCCATGAGAGAGAAGAACCATGGGTTGAAACATGGAAAGAGTTGCACATTGAAATCTGAATTTCTTTGTTATAAGATTTTGTCTGAATTTAGGTGGCAAATTTTAGATATTTAATTTCCTTTTTGTAACAAGAATAGTACTCAGCTATTCAGTCATTGTCACACAGTTGTAGTTAACGTTATTATGTTTTTCCAACCCCGCAAAGTACCTAAACAACAATTTCCCCAGCTAGGTTTTCCTTAACTCTTTGTTCTTCTCAAACTTTCTTTCTGAATCCCCAGAGACATTCAATTTGATGCATTACAGTGAAGTTTAAAAGGAAGAAAAAGATCTACCAGTATTTTAAAGTTGTCCCTGAATTTATGAATTAAAAACATAAAATCAAATGCCAACCAAACCACCATGTGAATGTGAAGCATATTTACCAAACTACATTTTGGCAACATAATTTTATAATATATTTTTTTTGGGGGGGAAGGAGAGACTCCTTTTCAGACAGTGAAGAAACATAAGTAATGCATTATTGTGTTCAGATACATTTGGCTTCCATCCCAGGGTGGCTACATCTGCTAGATCTTCAAATACCATTTTCTATGCCACATGATATTGGAGACTTATTTGTATTACAAGTAATTACTTATTGATTAATTCCTACAGATCAAATCATATACCTTAACATTAAAATATCATCATAATCTCTTGGGAGTTTCTTCTAATCGTAACAAATTAGTTAATATCAAAAAGTCCCTGGACAGTACTCTCTTAAGCAATGTAAACAAGAGGTTTAGATCCATTGTTATAAACATACATTAATTTGGATTCCTACAAATATCCCTTTTCCTTCCATGAAACCCTTTCATTATGTGCTTCTCTGATCTTTCGTACCTGTGTGTTTTGTAAAACAGACACCTCTTCAGGGGAATCTTTACTACATGTTCTTGCAGCCCCACAAACAGAACACTCTGGCTATGCAGAATCTGCAGGCTCCTGATAGGTTCCTTCTGTCTCCTTGGAAAGAGCTCAATTTCTTCAAGTAAGCAGCTGCTTGAAGTCTGATTCATTGGAGCAAGTACTTTCTTAATAGTGCCATAGTCTGTAAAGGCAAAGGGGAAAATTACAAACTGGAAATCATACAGGGAACACTACCTACTCAATGCCTCTCAGCAGTCTCAGAAACTATTCTTCTCCCACATTGGGAGGTTTTGTAAGAGGCCCTATAATTTGGAGGATTCAGCTGGGTTTTTCTATTAGTGTAAACTGGCCACTATACAAGTGAAAGAAAACTGAACAACTATAAATATTTTATAAAACAAACAATGGCAAAGCAGTTTAGGAGCATCAGACAAACACTTTAAAATAGTAGATACTGGATCTACATTCAAAGCTCAGCTATTATGGGCACACATCTACAGAATCCATTTATAACGAGAACGATAATCAGAGAGTGTATAGACATTCCCATCATTTCTAATTTACAAGGCTACAGTATACCTGACTATTTTTAAAGGACTCAATAAATGATAAAGTACATTGTTGCCTCACTTGATCTGCTTTTGTAAATGAATGAATTTAACTACAGACTATGAACAAATAGTATAGCTTTTATTAGACAAAGTAATCTCTTTAAGGGAGTGCACAAAGTTTATTCAGTAAGGATGTATAACACTATAAAGTACAAGTGCTTCACACAGATTGTCTAATCATTTTGGTCCTTACTAGAGAAAGTAATCACCTTTCTGCTGACTGAGAAATACAGCGATTCACTCTGCATGCTACCTTTCATTTGGTCACTTCTGAGCAAAAACTGTTAATCACGCCAACTTGATGCCAGATCATTTATGAGATTTCTGAATACAATTAAGTATTCTCAACATTTAAAAATATTTAATATGAAAACAAAGGACCAAATTCTCATCTGGTGTAAACACCAGACAAGGGTCTGGCTGAAAGAGAGTACTATGTGATTCTCCATGTGCTGCAAATGGTGAGCATTAAGGGCCCAGTCATGCCCAGTCTTACTTACACAAATAATCCTTATCCATACAAGCTGCCCTTTTCAGGCAAATGGGGCAACCTATGTGAATGAGGAATGCTAATGGGAGTAAAAGCTTGTGTAACCTTTCGTTGGGCTAGAGTTCACCTCGTTTCCCGTCTACAGTGCCTTAAAAAAAACCCCAAAAAACAAAGAACAACTCCCACAGAAAGTAGTTGGAGACCCAGAGTTCAGTCTCTAAGGATTTTCAGCAAGGATAGCACAGGGTCAGCCTCCACACATTGGAGTCCCAAAAGAAACTAAAGAAATAAATTTAATTAAATAACTTTATAAAATCTTATGATAAAGAAACACATAATAATCTAATTTTTACAACATGACATGACTATTTTATAATCCACAGACATTACCTTCACAGTTATACATAAACACAAATAAAGAAAACAAATTAAAATCTCAACAGTTCAGTCCCCACAGAAATACAGTGAGAAGAAATTGAAAGTCCCCAAAAGCTTAGGTTTTGTTCACCTAAGTCTCAGTTAGAGTCTTTGAACACCAAATCTATACAGTCGGCTAAGTCTAAAACAGGGGTGGGCAAACTTTTTGGACTTTTCACGTAGGTCAGTGGGTAGTTTTAAACAAATATTCTTTTCTTCAGTAAATCCTTCCAAATATGTTTATCCCAAGAGAGGAGAGAGATATAGAGAATGGTATTAAATGATTTTATTTTCTGTGAAATGCAAGTGTAATCTGAAGGCCTAAACAAGATGTATTCAGAGGTCATGATTCTGACCATTCAAGTGTAACCCATGTGCCTAATAGGGAGATATCTCTTTAAGAGACCCACTGTGGGGGAGGTAGGAGTGAGTTGTGTCTCGGTCATTGTTGCTAGGCAGATTAAGCACTCCACATCCAGAAGCTTCTGGAATTGGGTGTGATAGTTTGGGGTCTGCTCCAGTAGGTTCCCTGTTGCTGGGGTCAGACTCCATGAGGGCAAGCAGCCAGGGCAGCTGCTTTGCAGAAGGCCAGGTGCCCGGTGTGCGCTGGGAGAAGCTGAGCCCAGGAGCAGGAAGCAGGCTGTTGGCCCTAACTCTGAAGCATTTTGCATCAGGTTAGCGGTGGTGTTAACCCTCTGACAGGGAAGCCTGGGCAATGCTAATTATAGCAAGGGGAAATCGGGACGGAAAAAGAGCTTCTATTTTAATTGTGTGCTTTGAGTGTTCGAGTTACATTGTCTCAACTACTCTCCTTTAGGTTAGTGTAATCCAGAAGTAACTCCACTAAAATTACTGGTCAGTATGGAAACTGGCAATTAAAGTAATCTAAAAAATTTAACTCTGCCCTGTATAATCAGCTGCAGAACAACCACAAACCAAGATCTAATTCTATACTCAAAAACCACATCACTGTGTGAATTACTCTGAAAATTAATGAGACCTATCTGAACTATCTCACAGCCACTGATGGGATGATTGCCTAATACCGATGCATTTAGAACTTTAGTGCACCTGACTTCACATTCTCACCATAAACTACACTTGATTATGTATGGTTGACAAGAAAATGCTAACCTTTACTTCTCTTTACCAAAAGAGATCACTTACAGGACACATATTTGGTGGATCTTCCCGAAAATATATACTTTGGTATGTACAAACACTTAGCAGGTCACTTAGCTGTGAACCTCATAAAAGCTGTACCAAAATGTAGATACTTTACATGCCAGGGTTGCATGATGGTCAGAGATCAAGTATTATAGAAATGTACTTTCAAAGCCAAAGCCAGTGACTGCATGCCAGTGTTCTGTGGTCCTATACAATTTAGTATATTTGACATTTGCTACGGGTTGCATATTCCTTCAAGATCTTATAAAAGCTTCCTTCCTCAGTCTTTCCTCAAAAAGTTTTATCTTACACACAGTGTGCATGGGATAGAAGAGGGTGGAGGAACTGTTAATGTTGTTTGGGTAACCTTAACTGTGCATTTTATTAATTTTTGCATGCACTCATCCCCATGTAAGCACAATTATCTAAATTGTCAGTGCAAATGTAAAAACAAGCATTTATCAACTCCAATTAGGGCCCACATTTTGAAAAACTGGCCCTAAAGTAATTGAAAATATGTAATTACATTCAAATGTGCCACTGAAAAAGTGAATGCCCTACCAAACAGTATTTCTTTGAAGTGTACATATGTTTCAGTAATTTTTTTTTAAACAGTGTTGTATGGGGTCATAGTTGTGTGACTTTGGGATTTTAAAGTGACTCGCAGCTAAAATCCTGCATGACAACTGGAAAATTTACTCTTGATAAAAAACTACTTTATGTGATTTCAGTGATAAATAACAGTCCTGTAGGCAGATTTTTAGTACAACACACAATTATTGTTATAACTATTTATTACATAATTTGGTTACAGAATGTAAGTGAGAATGTATAGAAGTAATCATTGAGACAATAAACTACATTATATATAAAGGAAATATATCCACAAAGAAAAAATATTTTAAAGTGCCCCAAAGTAAAGACAGCTCTGCTCTGATGAGCTTACAGTAAAAAGGCTTTGCAAACCCCATAGCACCAAGCCTCAATCTCTCCAGCAAGAGCTCACACTGCTTGCCACCAGGGCAAAAATTGTGTAAATAGAGTTTCAGTCTGTTCCCTCTGTTTAAAGTTAGAAACCTGTTAATGTATCCTACAGAGACAGGGCCTAACACAACAAACAGTTCCTGGTACAGGTGCGGAGCAGCACTGTGCATTTAACCCAAATAAGACAAATGGAAATTCAAAATGTGTAAGTTATAGAATGGGGAAGACAGATAGCAAGTATCTGGACAGCATCAACCATGCATCCTGGTCCACTCTAAAATTAAAAAGAAAGGCAGTGTGTGGGCGTGGGGGCAGGGGAGAAGAACAAAACTAGAATATTGCTCAAAGTTCTCTGGGGCAAGAAACATTTTGGGCCACTTTATCACAATTCCCCACATAAATATTTACTTCAGAACCATAGTGACACAGGAAATAGCCATAATGAATGTACTATGATGAATGTATACTTTCCTAACGGATATAACTTTCCCTTCCATGGATACAATAAAAGTTCTAGCATCAACACAAATATTGACAACATCTCCCACAGTTATTTCAGAATATTAATGAATAGCATGTTCACATTCTGGGATTATGCAAGACAAGCAGGAATGGATCCAGACAACTGACAGTTTTGTTTTCCGGTGAGAATGACTGGATATGTGGGAGAGGAGGAAAAAAACCCAATATTGGCAAGATGGAACCAACTCACTGAAGTGCTATGTAAGTAGTACAGCAACGTTTGCATAAAGAGACTTGCTAAATGAGCAATTGTATAGTGGATATCTAATGTACTGTGAATGAGGATGATGAAAAATCAAAGAAGGCTTCTGGCTGAAATAGCATATGGTGGGTCCAGTAAGTCTATAATGTCTCTCTCTCTCTCTCTCTCTCTCTCTCTATATATATATATATATAAAGTCTCTATAAAACCAGCAGGACAGTGGAGTGGGAGGGGGTATTGTTTCATGGTCTCTTGTGTGTATATAATGTCTACTGCAGTTTCCACGGTATGCATCCGATGAAGTGAGCTGTAGCTCACGAAAGCTCATGCTCAAATAAATTGGTTAGTCTCTAAGGTGCCACAAGTACTCCTTTTCTTTTTGCAAAGACAGACTAACACGGCTGTTACTCTGAAACCTATAATGACACATGACATTTAATTAATAACTGAATGGAAAATTTGAGGCAAGGTTGCAGAGAGCAAATTTGGAGACAGCCTGGTCTACAGTGAACAAAAAATGAATGATAAAGAAAGAAAAGGACAATCACTAAAAATGAGAAACAAAGCTCGAGATGAAAGTGGTTTAATAGAGTCAAAACACAACAACAGCAATAGAAAATGCCACAGAAATTAGACGGCTTGCAGAGGAAGAACTATTTAAATAACTACCAAGCGTGGGCTGAAACTTGTAAAAGACAACAAGAAATAAGCCTACAAGCAAACTAACAGAACTCCTACTTCTGGAAAGTTTTCAGCCAGGAATAGGGGCACACAATGAAGCATTTACA